CTCCAGGGCCTTGCCCTTTGCTTCATATGCCAGTGCTTCAGAAATTCTGGTTCTCAAGTCTGGCTGCAGGTTGGAATTACCTGGGAGTTTTAAAAAATTGTGGTTGACTGTCTTCCACAATTGGAGATTCTGATTTAATTAGTCTGGGGTATGGCCTGGGCATTGGGTTTTCTAATCTATCCCCATCCCCTACTCCTGCCAATGTGTGGTCATAATTGGGAACTACTGTCCTGAAAAGCAGGAGATAAAGGTGGAGCCAGTCAAGCAGGTTTGCTTGGGGGAAGCTCCAGGCAGGGCCCCCTGGGAAATGCCTTCATGGTGGTGCATCATGGTCCATGGGAGGAATGCACAGGGTAGAGAGGAGAGGGCTCTGGGTAGGAGGTCCCCTTAAAAAGCAAGATCTGAACTTCCTCACCTGTAATGTGGGGATGATGATTATTCTGGCATTGCTTAGCTGAGATCATAGAATCTTAGAACTGGAAGTGAACTAAAAGGTCCTCATTGAGACCCAAAGAAGTTAGATGACTTGCCCAAGAGCCCACAATGAGTAAGAGGCAGAGATGTGGGCAATGTGGAGAATTAGAACAGGACAGTCGACGAGAGGTTAGAATTAGACTGACGGATGGGTCCAAATCCAGATTTATCGCTTTGGCTGTGTGGCTTTGGGCAAGTCACTGTGCCTCACTGAGCCTCAGACTCCTCATCTGCAAAATAGTCATGATAATAATAATATGTACCCTCCCGGGTTTTGTGATGCTGAAAGAAATTATGTTTGCAAAGCACATAGTATTGTGCTTAGCACAGGGTAAATCTTTCTGTGGTTGAGAAAAGCAGAATAGAAAATAGGGACAAAGGCAAAATGGGACTGCAGAGGCCACTCTTCATGGGTAGTGAAACTGCAGAGGACCCTGGGGCCAGTAGAGAAAAGACCCAGGTGATCCTGTGGTTGGGAGCCAAGGCTGGTGTGAAGGCTAGGAATGGCCAAATTTAGGGTGCCCCAGCTTAGATAAGGTTGCACAGTGCTGGTGTTCCCATTATAGGTACCAGGGATGGGACATCAAGTGGGACCTGGCTGCCCTTAAGGAAGGGAGGATATCTTGGGATCCCTGCTGGGGTGACTGTGATTATTGAATCAATGGTTATTGCATTGAATGGAAGACACAGTCATCTTTTGAGAATTTGGAGACCCATTCCTGGGAATGCCAATTTCTGTAGGAGAAGATGTGTTTTACTAACTTGGAGCTAGGAAATCAGGCTCTGAGGAGTCCATGAGATGATACAGGTGAAGTACTCAGCACCTTAAGTGCCCAATAAATATTAGCTATGGTTATTTACTGCTAACAGTAAACTCTGTGAGTTGGGCACATTTTTCCCTCTTGGGTTTGAATCCTGGTTTAGCTGAGTAATTTTGGGTAAGTGGGCTTAATCTCGGAGGCCTCATTTCCTTCATTTGTATGATGGGCTGATAATGCCAATCTCATAGCATTTTGAAATAAGATGAACTAAATGAAGAGCTCAAAGCCTGAGGTAAGGGAAGCATACAGGAAGTGCCCGCTGTAAGTACTGGTGTGAAAGTCCAACATTAGCCTGAAAGGTTGCCACCCCTGGTTACGTGGAATGGTGAGTAGGCCACCACGCCCAGTGAAAGTCACAGTGGCCAGGTGAGCAGAGAGGTAAAGAAGAGAGCTGTCAAACAGGGACAGCATTCACCAACCCTGGAGTTTACATCTTGATTCCAGTTACCTTTCTATTTACTCCACTGACGGGGTGAAAAATCCCCAGGTGCCAACTGAAGAGCTTTGCAGCATAAGGTACATGGGGAACTTGATTTTCTCTTGGAGAAACCCTCTCTTCTCCCCGCCCCGCCCCTGACATACCTGAAATAAGGGAAGCTCATTTGAAAGTCAAGCAAAGAATTCTTGAGGCCTATTTCTAAACTGCAAATGGAAGGGACTTGAGCTCACTTCATCCACCTCTCACCGCTGATTCTTCCTCTGATTCTCAGAGGAAGAAATTGAGATCTATAGGTGTGAAGCGGTTGGTCTAAAGGCTCAGCATTTGCCAGCTGGCAGAACTGGGTCTGAAACACAGGTCTGCTGACTCCAGATCCACTGTAATTCCTACAGTTCCACCTGGAGCATTATTATTGATGATGGTGATGATGATGATTTTGGGGTGTGTGTGTGTAAGGGGGGGGGGTTAGTGGAAGCAATGCAAATAGGGATTATAGTAAAAAATATCTAACAACCAGTGTTCTGTGAGCATCGGCCAATCAGACACTTCCCTGGGACATCCTGACTGAATGTTAGCGGGCTCTGATTGGGCATTAGATATCCACTATAAACAACTGGACAACCATTAGGAGAGACAGTGGGTTAGTTTTGTCTCCTTGCTCCAGAGTTCCTAAGGATGGAGAGCCATTTTGAAAATTGATTGAAAAAGTTGTCTTTGGTGAGCTAGATTAGATGAATAATAGTTTTCATCTGGAGAACTAACACTGTGACATTTGTAGATATTTGGATTTTAATAAATTTAGGGTAAATAACTGATTTCTCTCCAAAAGTGTAAAAAATATTTTGTTCGTATAACTCCCAGAAGTGAGTCCGAGCTAGATGTGAGAACTGATTTTGGAAGGACACCAGTATGTTCTCAGGTTTCCCATGGGGAGGGAAATACTTGTGATTGATGTTTTGGAGGAGAGCCTTACTCAAGTCTCTCTTAATATGTCTGATTTTAACTACAACTATTAGATGGAAACAAATGAAATTCCACATGACCATTTTTGACCCACAGAAATGGTAATTCAGTACGGTCCCAATTTAATATTGGCTGAGCATCAATAGTGACTCCAGCTACTGTTCTGGAAAATAAAAAGAGATGAATGGGTTGAACCCTCTTGGTTCCTACTGATGGCTATTTTCGTGAGAGGCAACAGGGCGCAATGTCAGCCGTGGGTTCATATTCTGACTCCATTAAATACTAACTTGGCTCTCTCTGACCTCTCTCTCTTTTCAGGGTTGCTGGATATGAGTTTATGCCACTTAACTACAGAGCCTCATGATTCATAAAAGAAACTCAGTGTGGGGGGGGTCTTCTCTCTCTTTCTCGCCTCATCTGAGCAGTGGTACAATCTATGGGGTTTCACAGTCAATTTGTTATAAGATTTATTATAACCTATGAAAATCAGTTGCCATTTTTCTTCAAGTACATGGAGAACGAGGTGCATTTTTAAAACCCCAAGAGGTTACCCAGAGACCTTCATTGAGAAAAAAAAATAATGAACAGATTAATAAAAGATGGACCCAGTTATTAAAATTCTGTGCCTTTCAATGCCAATTTATTAAGTTACATCTATTAAATACATGAAAACATACAACATTTCATTCACAGAGATTGGAATTGACACAGTAGTGCCCAAAGACATGGACTGTGTACAAGTGAAGTACATACCCAACAGTGTACAATATGCAGTTTACTTTGGGATTGTGACGTTTTAACATAAAACATAAACTCAATGAATGCACATGAGGCTTATCACTAAAACCACATAAACACCTACATTTATTCAATCTCTACACCCCTGAAACAAAAGAGGGGAAAGTTACATATTTTAATGACTTTAAGAATAAAATCATTTGATTAAGTTCAGCTACTTTATTTACTTGAAATTGTGTGTCTCCTTCCTGCTGAATATATGTGCTAGAGAGTGGGACTTGTCTGTTGTGTTCCTTCTTGTCTTGGCTCTCCAGCCTCTAGGTGCTGTCATGTGACAGATGCTCAAAAAATAACTGTTTCATGGTTGAAATGGAAAGACTGCTGGGCTTGGTGTCAGGAGATAGGAACTCCAGTCTCAATGCTGCTACTAGCTACTGTCTGGCTGTGGGCCATTTGAGTCATCTTTCTGAGCTTGGGTTTCTTCATCCTTAACATGATGTAACTTAGAGCGGAAAAGCTCTATAGATACCATCAGCTCTAAAATTCTATGACATTCTCTATTAGACAAGATCTTAAGAGTTACTTCCTGTTGGACATTTCTTTGAACAAATGGAAAATGGCATCCACTTCTAGGCTGGAAGCCACTGAACTCTTGACGAGGCTCCCAGGTTCTTAATGATCAAATAGAACACACAGAAGTTAATTAAAAATGGCATAATCATAGATTTGGAGAAGACCCCAGATCTCCTTTGGCTCAATCCCTCCTCCTGCCTCAATGAAGGATGGCTTCTACAAAACCCTTGAGCTAAGCCCTTTGCTTGAATATCTCTGGGGACTGAGAAATCACTGTCTGGGGACTTTCTACTTTTGGGGAGAAAGTTCCTTTGGATATCAAGCCAGAAATGGTGACTCTGTAACTGCAACTCATGAGCCCTAGCTCCTTCCTCCAGAGAGACATGGAAGAAGTCTCCTGTCCCCTTCTCTATCATCCCATAGGTATTTGATACAATTTCTCATGTCTTCTTCCAATTTCCCCTCCAGTTATTAAAATGAATACTGTTTTCTGAGAGCAGAGGTAATTGGGTGAGCCTAGCATTATGATTCAGGAAGATAGTATCCTAGCTCTAGAACAGCTATTAACTGTGTGGCCCTGAATAAATAACTTCTGTTTGGGCTGGTATGGTATTTTCTTCTTAAAATTAAAGTGATAGAAGAGGTTGTGTGTGTGGGTGGTGGTGGTGGAAAATGTGTCTCAGAACTTGGGAAATTGTAAATATGGTTGTTGGAGTGGAGCAGGGCACAGCTATGACTGTTCTGACCCACACTCTCTAACCACAGGAGCAAAAGGATTTGGGGGTCAACAGTCCACTAAATTCTCCTCAGGCCCAGCTGCAAATATGTTGCAATTGCTGGTAATATCCCGGATAGTGGTGCACATGAAATAACAATTCTTCTAAACATGGCAAAACACTTCCAGGACTCTCAGCCCTAAGAGAGCAAGACATCTTGGGGTAAGAGACTTCAGCATGTATTTTGCAAGGTGCAGAACATAAGCCATCTTGTCCAGAAGAATTAATCTCCAATGTCATAATCATGGAAACATGATTGGGAAAGGGCTTGGAAAATACCTTGCAAGAGAATGTTGGCAAAGGATGTGCCCCGTGCACAGTGATTTAGTTGAACTTTTATAACCCAGAGGGGCTACTGACGAATGCAGAGGTGGAATTTCCTCTAGAGTGACGTAGCTAAGATAGAAATGGAGCCAAGGACTCTGGCATGCCCTGTAATTAAACTGAACAAGATGCTTTTTGGGATATGAAAAGTGTGCCTTTTCACTTTCTGCTGTGCCTTATTTATAAAATTCAGAAATTTTAGTAGCTTGAGCAATTCTGTTCTATCAAATAGATCTACACTATGCTAGGGTCAAAATGCTAGTGACTCCATGCATTTTGATCATGGTTCCTGTTTTTGCTGAGGGACACAGGCTCTTCAACACACCTCTGGGTCATCCATAAATTTCTAATATTTTCAAGGGTTGTTGCTGTGCAAACTTGAGTCTAGCAGATAATAACCTCTGCCCATATTTGACTTAATAATAATGGATTCCACCATAGAAAACAGTATTATATATTTCCCCTTTTATTTATGGAAAATGATCCTTGGGTAGCTATTGAAAACACCACTTAGGGTACATACAAATCATTTTGTTAATGATCATCCTTCATTAAATGGCACCCATTTTCGTAATGAGAAAATATCTATGTGCCTAAAGTTAGCTAATTAATTAGCTAATACAACCAAAATAAATTAGAGGATCTGCAGACAATGGAGGTGCTGAGTAGTTAGAATGAACACATCTGAGACTAAAATAATTTGTCTTTGTGTCCCCAGGGAGAGTAGGTACTCATTAAACATTTGTGGAATTGATTTCAATTTGGCCTTTTGAGAGACATTGAACCAGTAAAGCATTTCCCCCCTAAATTAACTATTTTCTAAAGCGTGTAAGCATGCCCTTTCTTTCCTTGCAAACTTTTGAATGCATTCCCTATACTCCTTTTAGGGAACCACCACATGTTCTTAAAAAGCACTCTCCCACTTCATTTTAAAAACTAGGGCACTTGCCATGGAGATAATGCCTAGGAAACAGAAGTCCTGACTTGAGTCCTACTAGGAATATTTGTCTGGGCCTTTCTGAACAGTAAAAGATGTATCATAGAGAATTAACAAATTCAGCAGTGAAAACTTAAGCACAATACATTCTTCAATAAACGAGCTTATGACAGAAGCAAAATAAATATGTGGCAGGATTTTCCTAAAGCCTCAAGTCTTTTAGGATAGTAGGAAATACCAATTTCTAGAATAAACTTCCAAATGCCCCAGATCTCCTAAGGCACAGGGGGCAGGTTTGAAGGCCTTGGCACAAGGGTTCCTTTCAGCAGAGGAGATGAACAGGCCACTCTTGCCCCTTCCATGCAAATTCTTTCCCGCACACCAAGCGGCTTGATGCCCTCATGCACATGCAGAAAGACCATTTTATTTTCTTAACGAGTTGCTCATTCTGATCATGGGGCCAGTCTAGGGTCATTGATGGAACATTCCTAATCTACCAATACATATTGTTCTAGGAGCTGGTTGAGGGAATAGTCTCTTATCCAGTTGGTTTTGTAGTTACTGAGAAACCTTTCCTTTCTGCTTTAAGTAAAGGGTAATTCCTCAATCTGAGATGCCCTTTCCCCGACCAAAGCCATCTGTTGTCCGCCCACCTGTTTTCAGAACTCACTCAGGCTTCACTTCCTTCTTGAAGACTCTTCTGAACCAGGTGGAGGTGACCACACCCTTCTCTGTGATCCCACTGAGCCCTGTGCTGACCTTAACCTCCCAACTGAGAAACTGGAAATTAATGGTTAGTTAGTTATAACTCAACAAATGTTGATCAAATACTGCTTCACCAATCACTGTGCCCAAGAACCCCATCACACACCTCTGTGCCTCTGTAGTCTCCTGGCAACAAGAGTAAGAGTGAGTTGGGTGCCAAGGTTGCTTGCAGACCCATCTGTGAGGTCTCTCACAATAGGAACATTTATAATAGAGGCCAGGACCCTGAAGGTCACTCCCCATGTCACACTGATATGCTCTCAGACTTCACAGAAGGCTCAAAGTTAACACGTTTCATCCCCATGAACTCATTTGATCTTGGGAAACAAATGGGTGGATTCCTGTTTTACAGACAAATCAACAGAGGCTGAGAGAAATGCCCCTCCTACCCTTGGCATATTTATGCAGGAAAATGGTACAGTTTAGAGGATGGGAACCCACTGCAGCACAGGAGGGACCTTCTCAAGGTCTAGCCCCTCCTCCACAGACGAAGCCTTGGCTGAGCTGATTAGCTAGTTCCATATTTAAATTCCTTAGAATATTTTAAGAGAAAAACACTCACATAACAATCTGTATATAATGTTGTGAATCAAACCTCAGAGCAGATCTAGGTTAACTTCTCCAGATTTGGTGACTGACTTTTCCCCCGGCAGAGAAGAAGTCCATTGTCTCCTGGCATCAATCAAGTTTGTTGTACAGCTGGTCTAGTTAGCTAGAAATCTCTTCAAGTTTGTTGAGTCGAGTGACCTAATCAGCTGGATATCTTACATAGTCAGGAGTGCTCCAGGAATCTTATGTAACACAGTCAGATGATATTGTTTTAGGACTTGGAGTTAGTCCTTGGATTATGTTGAGATTTATTTGGCCAGGAGTCATCTAGTGATATTCATATAAGTTCTGAGTAGAGTCTGTCTTGCTCTTCATAGTGTATCCTGGTTTAAGGCAGGGCCCAGATCATAATTGGTGCTCAAGAAAACTCTGGTGAATAAAATGCTACTGTATTTTTGATATGCAGGTAGAGCTCATGCTTGCTTGTTTTGAAGCCTATGTACATAACAAAGGGAAAGGTAGTTTTTCTCATTTGCCATAGATAGCGTGAAAACCAATTTCTTTTTTTTGAAAACGTTCATGAAAATACCAGCTTCTTTCTTTCTTTCTTTCTTTCTTTCTTTCTTTCTTTCTTTCTTTCTTTCTTTCTTTCTTTCTTTCTTTCTTTCTTTCAGCAAGGTGTTAAAGTATGTGTTTGGGAAAACTGATTAAGGGTTTCTCCTCTGAAAGGTTTACACTGTTTTCTAGGGCTTTGGACTTTATTCAAGGCTCCTGAACTGAAGCAAATACTTCATCATCAAATTGAACAACAACCAGGCCCACTGGTGACAAGTGTGGAAATGTTCCGAGTTGATCATCTATTCATTTGGTGACCAGTGTTTTAATATTGAGAAACTCACCACTCTTCCAAGCAACCACAATAATATATCTGCTTTCTTCTGCCTTTTTCCAATTATTGGGTTGTCGGAAAAGCCATGATGCATTTTTGCGGCGAAAAACAAAAAAATATACGTCATGACTCTTTCGACAACCCAATAGTATTTTCATCAGTAATGTATATAAAGTGTGAACTTTGGTGCCCTAAATTTCATAGCTAAAGCACTATCTCTGTGGAATGCCCCAAGAAAATCCCTGGCTATAGTTATATATGAATGAGGAAAATTAGGAACTAGGAGGTGAGGACCTTCACACAATGATATCAGCATTGCCCCTATAGCAAGAAGGCTCCGAAGAAAGTTTTATCTTCTTTTGTGTAATCCACCAACGAGACATCACTGACGTTCACCATCAGCTTGTCTCCTTTTTGTAAGGAGAACATTGCCCCTAGGTAGATGGGTTGGAACCAGTTGCTGCCTATTTCACACACTGTCTTGGTCCCCATTAGGAGCTGGGTGGGATCAGGGTAGCTGTCTGTCACCTTGGTGATGGCCACGATGACGGCTTCTGGCTTGTTCAGTCGGCTGCCTTGGCTAATTTCCCCACATTTGGATGTGGTACCTCGGAATGTGATCTGGGAGTAAACGAAGTAGTCTCCCGACTCTGGGATCACCAGGAATCTATTGGTGTAATTCATCCGGTTCTTGGTGAAGGCCAACCCAAGTTCATGTTCCCAATGCAGAGTTGGGAACTGATTTATCAAGGGCTGTGTAGGAGTTTGTCTCACAACTGCAAAGACAAGAGAGAGGTTTAATTTGCATGTGTTGAAACCTGTGGACTTTGCAAAAAAGTGTCTCAGATAATTTTTAAAGAGTAAAATGGTTGAATAAAAGCAATAGCTAAGAAGTTGCTTGAGAAGGCATGAGTGGAGGTTATGTGTGTGGACATTTGTTCAGAGTGGCATCTTAGGTCAGTGGCCTGGGGTAAATTGTTTTGCCTCTCTGAGCTTGAGTCTTCTTATCTGATAATTTACAATTTTACCTGAGCACTGTGATCCTGGAGAACAGTGAAGGGTAAGAAATCTCACTCATTTGTGTTTCAGAAAATAGCTTACTGCAAAGAACCACTCTTCCCCAAATGACTTAGGTAAGACTTGTAGATAGTCTCGCTTGTTTAGCTACCACAAGGCTAGCCACCAGACCCTCCAATTTCCCATTCTTTGCCTCATAAATGATTAGCTGAACTGTTTGATCCGTACTAATTCATCAGAACAAAATGCTTGCTAACCAAACTTTGATTAAACTCTTCTAGTTCCTCCAGACCCCTGAAATTTTGCTCATTCTCAGCCCGAGCCAGTACACAGACTCTCCTGACAGCAGGCTGGCCTCAGAGCAAAACATTCTCTGCTCCCATTATGCCAAACTTTCTTCCCCCTTCTGTGTACCTGCTTCTTTCTAGCACTGTTTACTCCTCTCTATAAAAGAAAAAAACCCTTTCAGCTTAACTCTTGAGACACTGCAGAATTTATGGTCACAGGATCATCTCGCTATTGCAATTGACCTCTCTCCTATTGCAATAGTCCTTTCCCTCCCTCTGTCCCCCAGCCCCCACAATAATCCTTTTTCATAAACTCTCTTCTTACTATGTCAGGATTTTTTTTTATTTGGCATTCCTTTCCTTTAAAAAAAAGGAGATAATGCCCATGGAAAGAATTAAAAGACATGGTGTGTATAAAATCCCTAGCTACTAGGGGTATTCTCTAAACTACATTTGCTTTTATTAGGCTTTTTGTTTCAGATATGCTCTGCTACAAAGAGAGAACATTCCAGAGAGAGTCAGATGTTTCCTGTCACTCCCTTTTAACATCGTGGTCCTAAGCTACATGAAACAGAGGCAGTAATTAATTAAAAACACAAAAAATTAGCATGCAGGGAAAATATTGGAACCAGAGATGCGGAACATTTTGGAAATGCTTTTCCTGCGTTGACAGGCCAAAATAAAAGCCAGTGTAATTGACTCGTGGAGTGAAAACGACCAAGGCTCTGGACCACTTAAGCCCTATTCCAATCCTGACTCTACAACATGTTAGGTTATTAATCAGCTATGCAGGTGCCTTCTCCTCTCTGTGTCTTAATTTCCTGTCTGTGAACTGAAGATAAAGCTCCCCTGTAGACTTGCTCTGAAGATCAAGTAAATGAAAGAGACATGGACATTTTTATTCTGCTGGCTGGATACAGAATTACGCAATATATATTTATTTTCTTTCCCCAAATCAACTAGCATCTTTCGTTTTGACTATTTAAAAATAAGTCTATTTCATTTTATATATTCTTCTGTTTGCATTATTTACAAATATACATTATATAGAACCTATGAATGAATACGTTCATGAAGTATGTCTATAGCAGAAAAAAAAATCAAACCGTCATTTCAAATAAGATAATTTGCCATAAAACAAATACTTTTCAGGAAAAATACATTTTAATTTCCTACAACTACTTTTGAAATCCACAGTAATCACCATTATGTCAGTCACAGTTAGGGGACAAGTTATGTTTAAAGAAGCATTTAGCAACCTTCACACCTGGTGGTTGATGAGAAACCTGGTTCCTAGATTTTTCTGAAGCACTTTTCCCATAGCTGACTGGACTATGGTTTCTTTTGCAACTATGACACATGTTCAGAATGTGTGTGGTCTCCCCTGGCCCCTGCACTAAGTGGCCTCTGGAGAGCCCTATTGCTTCTTTGGACAATCTATGAAAAGCATTTTTATTAGTCAGCACGGTAGTCTTGACTCCTTTTTTGGTGATGCAGCAGATTAAAGAAGAAAAACCCGGCCAGCCAAGTTGTGCGTTGGTTAAGAGCTGGCTTGGGATGTCAGAGGGCTCCGGTTCGGATCCCACATATGAGGGCCAGTGACACTGCCCTCTACAGCTAAGATGCTGAACAACAGCTCAACCTGGAGCTGGGCTGTGGTGAGTCGCTGTCGACGGTGTAGGCTGCAGCCCCTGATGCAGTGGGTTGCTATAAGCTACCCTGTGTGGCCAGCAGCCAGTGTGAGCGGCCCTCAAGCCACTGTGAGCGGCTGTCCAGAAGCCAGCGACTGATCTGCCTCGCCTGGGAAGAGCGCAATGATGGTGCCAACATGGGCCAGTGAAGCAATGTCCTCCACAACTAGACTGAAGAACAGTTCTCTTTCCCCAATTCCCCAATAAAAATCTTTAAAAAAAAATCCCTCCCACATCACACAAAGCAAAAGTCATTTAGTCTACAGATAAAGCAAGTTCTGTTCAATTGGTATGCAATTAGCTATGTCAACATAGTGGCAAGTAGGATTTTGGGTAGGAAGTACGTTGTAATGGAAACAATGCACTTCTGAGAATCAAGTTCAAATCTCAGCTCTTCTTAGTCATGTGACTTGGAACAAGTGAATTTAGTTGCCCAAACCTCAGTTTCCCCATCTCATTGAGCTAATATGCAGATTAAATAAATCATAGATGTAAAATGCCTACCACAGCATCTGGAATATATTAAGAGTTCCAATAGAGCCTGGATTCCCTCACCAGTTTCTCTTCTCTCCTCCATTCAGTAGGAAGAACGGTGGCATCTCCATACTCAATTTTTTGGATTTTCCTGCCCAGCCTGTTCAATCTTTCCTATTCTTATATGTGAGTGGTAAATGATGGCAACTTGGCATCCTTACTCGGGACTCCCCACAAACAGCTTCCTCTTCATTAAACATTAAGACAAATGTCTTGAACCCAAGGATATCCTGTGGGTTCAAATTTTCTAATAGGTCAGGAGGGTATGCTTGCTTTTTAACTCTTGTTTTTCAATTTTTCTTTCTCTTTTTCTTTTCTTTTCATTGTTTTCTTTTCCTTTCTTTTCTTTTTTCTTTCTTTCTTTCCCCCCAATGGGTTAACATCTTTCCGCACTGTCTTGCTCATTTCTCTGAATTCTTAGAGGTATATACAACTCCAAGTGTGAGATGCCAGGAATTTTGATACTAGACTTGGGGAGCTGGCCAACTGGTGATATTATGAGATGGCTCTTAATCTATTCACATCATGGAAATTCTTTGGAAATACCTAGCTGAATGTAAATGTCCAATAATTTTGAGTAGGGCACAGATGGACTTGATAAATTGGCAACTCAGAGCATCATTCAGAATTACGTGAATCTCAGCGTCTGAGGAGAGCCATTTCTGAATGACTGACTATATTAATGAAAGAGAGAAATAGTAGGGAAAAGAAAGCACGCTGGCAGAATCTGAAAGAAAATGCCCAAGAGACATGGTCCTTTAGTTCTCTTAAGGAAGGAAGACATCTGAAAACCCTTGGCTGAGAGGGTATCTGTTTACCAAGGGGTGTAGTTTCCAGCTTAAAGCTATTAGAATGAGTTTTGGCAAACATGCTGAAAGAAATCTCAGGTACATGGCCCATGGTCTCCTGGAAAACACACCAGGGAGAATTACCTGTCAGGTGTGCCCTTGGTTTATCTCCACCAGCTCTGGGAGGTACATCTGTAAGGAAAGGAGAAACATGCTTTGTATGAGTCAGAGGGTGACAAGAGTGAAGGCAGCATTTGGAGAGTTGCACGGTGTCTGCAGCTGGAGAGAAACATTCCTTTCCTCCATCTTGGTCCAGTTCCACTCTTTGCAGGTTTTTGTCTTTTTTCAGGGATGGGGAGCCTCAGGAGAAAGAGTCTTAAACACAAATGAATGTTGGCCCATGACTTTGGGCAAGTTCTCTAAACTGTCTGAGACTCTGTTTTCTCATCTCTGAGATGGGCACATGAATTCTTACCATGGGTGGAAAGTGCTCAGGATGTTTCCTGGCATATGGTTGGTGCTCAATAAAATGCACCTTGCCTCTCCTTTCCTCCTATTGCTTCTGTGGGAGTTAATTGGCTTTTTGCCTCTTCCATAGTCCTTTAACCATATCCACTGAGGCATCTAGATGACCTAAGAGAATGGAGTGGGAACCACTCTGTAGCTATAGGACCTTGACAGCTCTTTCCCTCTCTGGTCTACTGTTTCTCTGTCAGTTCTCCAAAAGACCTCAGAATTTCTATTTGGTTTTCAGAGATTATCATATTAGACAAAGTATTCTAACTGCAGAGAAAACGATGTTGATGATAAAAAGAAAAGCCCCATTGCATGTTTTGATGTGGTAGGCATGACTCTAATATCTTTATAGGATTTAACTAATTTAATCTACACTACCCCTGGGAGGTAGGTACTATTATAAACACTTTTATAGGCGTGTAAACTGAGACAGAAACAGGCGAAATTATTTGCCCAAAGGTCATCAGCTCCGTGGGCCATGCGCTCGGCCATGGCAACATTTGCCTTCTTGGTGGCTGAGGAGGTCCCCTTACTTCTCTTTGCTTGCATCCCTCTGAACCTCCTAAATACCAGAACTACTCGATGTGATCTTGTTTCCCACTAGAAAAGGCATAAAATGAGATCATACTTACAAGCTCGCTGATGTGAGGGTCCAAACTCCTGTCCTTTTGGAGTCTATTGGGAAAGAAAGATATGGTTCAGATCATCTGTGGTTCTTTTGATATCAATACTCACACAGCCGCCTGTGGCATGAGTATGATTAAGATGCTGCTGCTACCCAACCTGGGTACTCTGGGATGAAGGGCATGGGAATGCGAATATTTGGTTGATGGTAATCTTGTACCCAAGCTCTCCCCTTCCTCCTCCAGCACCCTGAGGACCTTCCTCTCTGTTATGCTTGTCTCTGAAGCTCAACTTTAAAGTTCTGTCCTGAGAACATTTCCTGTTCTATTTTAGATCACTCTGACATCTTGTCATTGCTTCTATCATTTGAACAAGTAATGGCACTTGCTTTACTATTTTTTCCCCACCATAGTTTAAAAATTGGAACTATTTTTTAAATAAGATACAGAAAAAGAAATAATGACTATGTTCTTCTTCTCATCAACCTATGCAATTCTTCCTTCTTTCCTTGCAATATGTGATGACTTTATTCATTGCAATCCTAGTTTGTGAACCATTTCAGATACCATTTCAGATAATAGAAGAGTAACTGCTTCGGAGGGAGACAGACCTGGATTTGAATCCTAATTTCCATCATTTATTGACATATGACCTTGAGCAAGACACTTTTCTCCTCTGAGCTTTGGTGCCCTCATTTCTAAAATGGAAATTTTACATATTCATAGCCCTATATAACTCCCAGGTTTGAGATGAGGATCAACTCAGAAAATGTATGAGTCAATACACAGAATGCACAAAAATTGAAGAAACCACCATTCACATGCCTGCATAGAAAGCTCAGAAGCAAAACTAGGGCTCTTAGCTTAGGTACAAAATCACCATCTTACATTTTGCAATGTTTCCAAATAATCTTCTCTAATATGATTTTGACTCAACCCAGAGTCTTCTGATTTGGTTCTTGTAACTGCTCAGTCCCCATGAACAGTGATCCTTACATTACCATGGACACTTGTTCAGTTTTACATCTTAAAACCTGTGTGTGTGTGTGTGTGTGTGTGTGTGTGTGTGTGTGTGTGTGTGAGTGAACTTGAATGAGGAGTTTTGTGTCTGTGTGAGTATGACAGGAGAAGCTCCATCGGTGAGAAAACGTTTTTGCATCTATGTAGTGTGGTGCTATGTGCATGGATGTCTCCACATGCACATGTGTGGCTGCGTGCTTGTCTCTGTGCCATTTCCAAGACTAGGTCTGTGAACAGTTTTGTGATAACAGTGAATTTGTTAGAACCCAGACCATCAGGACCTTTTTACTCCCAAGCCACATGGCCTAACGCTACTGGAAGCCCTCTTGAGGGCAACGATCTTGTCTTTGATTGACAAACTGACTTCATGCTCTCTCCAGCTCTCTTTTCTCTGCTTCCTAATTCTGTTAATGGTGCCACAACTGCTTCCTCCCAGTTACCAGGCCTGAAATTTGCTTCTTTCTTCTTCCTCAAACCCAAACTGTCATTTTTATTTTGCAGTTTTTCTCTTTCATGCCTCCACTTCAGGCCTCAGCATGTTGCTCTCCTGGATTCTTCCAAAAACCACCTTAAGAGCCTTTCCTGCACTTGGTGTCTCCTTTTCTCTAATCCATCTCTTAGCTTTTTTCTAAAGCATCACTTTATTGAGACATTTATATTGACATTCAAAGTCCCTATTTACCATCCCAGTCCCAGAGGTGGGGGAATTGGGAAATTACCCCTGAACTGTCTTACAGGTCCCACAGGTATTAGCCAGGTGATAAAAGGTAATGACCATTTGAAATGACAAGGCCAACAGCTTGTGCAAGAGAAAGGAGGCCCAGCAGAGCATGGGAGCTGTCGGAAAACTGCAAAGATTTCTGTTGCTAGGTGGACACATTACCTACACTTAGCATAGGGTCATGAAGACAGTGGTCTCTGGAAACCTAAACCCAATTGATGTAACAACTTGTCCAACATCAATAAATCTGATGGGTTTGTGGTGTGGGGAAGCAGCCTAGAAACAAGCTTATTTATGTAGCTTGTTTCCTTATTTGCGATTGACAGAGCTGATGAAGAATCAGTTCTTTGGCAAGGCAGAAAACTGGAGGTGGGGTTCTCAAAGAGAGTGTGTGTGTTGGGGTGGGGAGAGGGCGGGGCATGCTTGCATTCCCTTGTATAGAGTATGGTGCCTTCCCTGGTTGGCCTTCTCTGCCTCATTCATTCTGCTGAGAAATCTTCTTGAATATCCTTCTTATTTTTGTCTAAGAAGACACTCAAGCTACGAGTTCAAAGGATTTGTTTTGGCTCACAGTCCCCTTGTCATTAACATGTATTTGGGATGTGAACACATGTCCCTATTTGCTCTGCTGGATTTCTGTAACTTGGGCGCAGATTGTATTTTCATATATGGATTTTAGTGGCCTTAGTGTGCCCCCATACACCTGGAGGCTGTGGTAGAGCCAGTTGGCAGGTGTTGAAAAATACAGCGCTCCCAGAGGCCCCACGAACATCAGCCGGGACTCTCTTTCCAAAAACAGCATTGAAAGCCTTCCACTGCTGCTTTTCTTAATAATGACTCTGCGGATCACGGGAGGAAGATTATTGTGACAGAAAGCAGGAATGAATGAATAGGCGATTTGAGAGGAAGAAGGCGTAGCTTGTTTAGGGAAAGGTCTATGCATTTCTGCTGGCTCATTGCTTCTTTGCCAGGTGGTTGCTGGCAACTACAGGCCCGTCAAACGTCTTACTGTCTTCCAACCCTGACTCATCTCCATTGCTTCCGGGTTACTCTGGGGACAACTGGGAGCCGGTGGCTCCTGAAGGAGGCTGGTCACTGCCACATTGACCTCCGAATCTGAATAGACAAGGCATTCAAGAGCACCCCCTAAGAATGTGGTTTATTCCCCTTTAAATGCCTTCTCAAACTACTGGCTGAGACCCAGGATCCAAATTTATTCCCCTCCTGAGCATGTGTCACTCCCTAAAGTGATATTACTCATTTGTGTGTTTATTGCTTCTCTCTCTCAAGTAGAATTCAAGCTGCATGCAAGCACGAACCCAGTCTATCTGTCTTGCTCACCACTTTATTCCTAGTGCCTCAGCCAGGGCCTGGCACTTCCACTGGATGAGGCAGCCTGTAGAATGCACTGATCTTGGGCATCAGAAAGACAGGTAGAAAAGAGAGCAGATGATGGACTAAGATTTGGCGTCAGTGACTTTAGCCAGAGTTTTGCAATCCAAAAAAAACTAGGCGAGAGACCTTTTTATTTTAGAATACATGCAAAGTTTTGAGTTTTTGTTTAAATTTTTAAAATTAGTTATGTAGAGGTGGGTAGCTGAATATTTTAGGACTGGGGCCTCTACAGGTTTTCATGAGGCTCTTCTTGGAGCATAGGCATGGCTCCCGGAATGTTTGTTGAAAGTTGCAAGCTCCGGCCAGGAGTCAGAGCCAGAAAAGGCCAGTGTGTATGCCCATGGGCACATACGTTAGTGGGATGGTGGATACCTGCCATCACTGGCATTTATTAGACCAAGCTAAAACAAGCTGGGGCTTTTTGCTCCTTTTCTCCTAGAGGTCAGGGAATTTTCACTCTCATTTGATTTTCTTTCTTTTTTTCTTCATAGCATAGCTTTTTTTTGGTATGTTGATTGGTAATCCCTGACTCAAACTAACCATAACCTATTACTGTAGGCATTTTTGGAGTTATTCTAATACTTCAAATAGGAAAGAAGGAAGATGGAGAAAGGAGACTACTACCTAGTTGAGTGCTCACTGGGTGCTGGGTCCTGTGTTGAGTGTTTATGTGTGTTCCTCATCTGATACTCCAGTTAGTCTCAAAGGAGTGTATCACCTTTTCATAGACTTTGTAAGCCAAGGGTCAAAGAGTAAATGGTGGTTTGGGATCTGAACCTTTAGCACCTATCAGGATCCCCATACACATTAGCTGAGCACATACAACGGACAATCGAGCTTGAGCAAGATTGTCTTTGAGATTCTCTTACTGGCATTTCCCCAGAAAAACCCCTTGAGAGTATTGTAACGAATGACCCGTTCAGCCCTTCTCCCATGTCCCATAGTCACTCTCTAGTATATTCATAAACAGGAAGAGATATCCATTTATTGCCCTCAGAAATGCTACAATTGCAAAGGCCTACGTGTTCTATGTATGACCCATGTTATCCTCCCAGCACCTCTAGGAGAAATACACAGACATTTGCCTCTTTGTCTTTTCCTCTGGCTTCTCCCGAATTGCACTTGCACAGGGATAAATCCTACCTAGAAATGTTTCATTCCAAGGCCATTTCATCATCTGCTAAGGTGCGTCAGACAGGGCTTTACATGCAACATTCCGAGAGGTGTAAAGCGAAGAATATGGTGTTTGCGGCAGAGCAAACGTGGAAATCCCAGCTCTAATTTCCTAGTAGTCTGACCTTGGCATGTCACCTAACCTCAGTGAGACTGTTTCCTCATCAATAACAGCAGACAATGGTTCTTTCCTCCCATAACTATTGTGACGGCTCAGGAAGACCATACACGTGAAATGGATATCCAATTCATTTTCCTTCTTTTTTGGGGCTCAACAAGTGCTTGTGGTATGTGTTGTTGGTTCCATAGAGCTTCCCTTTGGTTTCACCATTTCAGTGATAAACAGAAGCAACTCTTATGTCTCAGATTTGGATCCCTAGGAGCTCTGGAAAGCTTCCTCCTTCTTCCAACAGGAGAGGTTTTCTCAGTCCACAGTTTGCTTCTGGACTTCTGCCCTTTCGGAATGCAAAGGGCTTGAGGGAATGGAATGTACCCAGCAAGCATTTCAAAACCTAAGCTAGTTGCTGCTGTCAGCTGCTGGACCTCATTAAAGAGAGCAAGCTGGGAGAGATGACCTCTTGCAGCCATTGTGCTGCTGCAGCTGGGCAGTGTGTGGTCTGTTTGGGTGAGGACCCTGAGGACCGCTGGGCATTGAGTGTTATGTGTATTTACTGTATCAGACGAAGAAATAGATCCTGGAATCCGCAGCTAGGAGCTGCAGGGGATGTTTGGGATTGACACCC